CCCCCCCCCCCCCCCCCCCCCCCCCCCCCATTTTTTTTTTAAAAAAAAAAAAAAAAAAAAAAGCACGATGATATATGAACAGAAACGATGAGAGAGAAAACCAGGGAGAGGCTAAAAGAAAATGTGACAAAGGAAGTGAGAGAGGTAAAAAACAGGTACAGAAAAGAGTATTACTGACTACAGAACGAGTTCTGCGTGTATGCGACGTGTTTTGTGCAGAAAGAAACATAACAACAAAAACAAAAAAACAAAAAGAAAAAAAAAAAGCAACAACGCCAACCAACGAGAAATTAATGACGAACTTTTTCCAGCCAAAATTTCTTTTGGCTAAAAAAAATCGCCAATAACGGACTCAACACGACTTTTCATGCACCAAAAAAAACACACACACACACACCAGCAGCAGCAGCAGCAGCAAATAACAACGACAATCATTAGAACAAAGAACAACAAAAACGACTCTTTGTAGGCAATTCCGGGAAAGGAAAATAAGAAACATTCTCAAACACACAACAGTCAAATATGGACACTTCCACAACAAGCCATTTACACACACAAATTTTAAACCACCATCGACAACAAATCAAACCTGAAGAAACACTGTTTGGAAAAGATTACTTGTTAAGCAACCCAACAAGCCCGATAACGATAAACCACCGGCAAACGATGACGATTACGACAAACAACGTTGTCACCAACATCACTGCTGTGAAAGAATTCTACCTGCTGTCCCATTTTGACCAATTCAATCCATCTAGTTCATTAACTCAAACCACTCATTCGCCATCGACTTTAAAATGTTTTTCATTTTACCACCAAAAATAGCAGCTACCGAAGATAAAAAACTTACATAACAATGCTTTGACAGCATAAAATTCTCAATCCATTTCGTTTCAACACTCAAAACAGTCAAAACAACACAATACCAATTACATTAAAACTTCCCCTTACCGTTCCTTTCCACCAGAAAAATAAAGTTATTGTTAAAATGAAGATTCTAATTATCAAATAGAAAAATGTTAAAAAATTGATGCCGAGCGGGAAATAATACATGAAAAAACGAATCCTAAACAATTCTTTCAGGTAATCAGAAAAAAAAAAAAAAACTTTGATCCCTTCCTTCATTCTGCTCCAATCAATCCCTTCACCATTACTACAACCACCATTACAATCTCTACGCTGCCATATCAAAAGAGAACAGATCATTTAAGAAGAAAAAATGAGAAATTTTTGAATAAAAGTGTATTATGAAAAAAATTCTGAAGAAAAAAATTATCGATTTTTCAAAAACTGTTTACAAATGTTAATCAACAGCACAGTGTGTTTAGACGTCTGACTTTCTCTGCTTCCCTCGCTGTTCGGCTTTTAGGGTCAGTCCGAGTCAACGGATTTCAGTCCATATAATACAATATAGTACCCGTACCCGGTGATATGATATATCAAAATAAAATAAAGTGAAACGGAATGAGATAAAGTGCTGTAAAATATGATGTAACATAACATAATAAAATACAATATAATGTAAAATGACAAAATAAAATGGAATAAAATGAAGTAAAACAAAATAAATATAATATAATATAGTATAGTATAATTTTAACACAGTATAATGTAATATAACGTAATACAATATAAAGTAACATAAGATAATGCAATATATTACAATATATATGCGTTTATGTACATTTATGTAAACGTAAG